TGTTCCTGTGGATTCCTGAAAGTAATCGACATTTATTATTGCAGGTGTTTGTGGTACCCGCAATTGGAGGACGGTACAATAATGTACCAAATTATTCCGCCACAAAATCCCCCCTTGGTCTGTCACGGAGCAAAGGCTCTGTGACAGACCAGCAGTGGCTCTGCAGGAATAATTCGGAAAAGAAAAATGGACGCCCCCATACGGCAGTCCCAAAAGTCGAATCGGTGCAACTGGTGTTTGGTTCCGGATGAAATCGGGGTTTTGTTGTAATCGTGAAATAATATAGAGAAAGAAGGACCCCAAAAGCAAAGAAAGATCAAAGTGGCCAACTTTAATCGTTCTTTGACAGCAATTGCAGACGGTACGGCGGTTAACTGCGCAAAAAAAGTCATGAATGAAGTTGAAAAGGCAACGCCCAATTCAAAGAAAATCAGATAGGTTGGATTTGGTTCGGTTCGGTTTGATGCGGTGCAGATGATTCAATGCGGTTCGGTTGGTTTGATTTGGTTTGGTCGATTTGAATGATTCAAGAAGTTGATGCGATGCGGATAAACGGTTAAGATTAGCATGCAATGAGATGTGGGAATGAAGGAGAGATGCAAGTTTGACGTGTGTGTGAACATCTTCGCAGAACAAAACAGAACAGAACAGGAAAAGGACAAGTGAGAACAAGTGCGGTGAATGCAGCATGAAACGACAAGAAAGGCAAAGCCCAGAGACGGAAACAGCAGAGGGTTCAAAGAAGACGACGAAGAATGCGTCTGGAGCACCAAATGCAGGTATGTGAAAGACAAGGTGCAAGGAATCGGTATTTCATGAATGCTTGGTTAACACAGAGTTTGAAGAAATGACGGACATGCTGATGAGGCTGGAAAAGAGCATCGAACGGCGGAAGAAGGAGGAAGCAGATGCTGCAAAGAAGAAGGAAGAAGAACGACAGAAGAGAGAGATGGAGACAATCGTAACAATGGTGCAAGTGCCAGAAAACACCTTAAAGGTACACCTTCTGAAAAAATGAGATTGTGACATGTATGTAAATTTGGTCCACCACCTGAAAGGTGATGGAGAAGATCGAGAAGCTGAACGACGACGGCTGGAGACGATTGAAGAGGTTTTTAGCCACAGAGGAAACACCAGACGGAGCAAAGCCAGAGGGAACAAAACGAAGAAGAGCATGCAATCAAGACGACGCACGGGAGACGGCGAACATGCCCAAAAGGATGCAGAGGGCGATAGAAAACCGAAAGAAAGAAGCGTTCGAGATGATTACAAGAATCGACACTGAAGTGGTAAAGCATGCACTAATGAATGTTGGTGAACGATTTTTGGTTGACAATAAGGAAGGTACAGGTAAGAAAGAACAAGATGAATAAATGAGTGGGAAATAAAAATGTTGTTGATCAACAGAGAAAGTACAAACGTTCGAAATTGGAAAGACGCGCATCCATACTGGGAAGTTTGAGGACCTGATGAACCTGTGGGAGAAACGGACAACAGGCGACGGACGGGAGGAAGAACAAGACAGTGATGAAGAGGAGAAGATGGATGCAGAAGGATCAGGCGAACCACACAGAGCAGAAGAATGTCAAATGAACATGGAGGTGATGGACACCCATGAAGAGAAGAAAGAAGAAAACGTACGCCGTCCACTGAGAAGCACCCCCATAGAGTCCAGAATTGATTTGCGTAAGTTTTAAGAAAGAAAGACTTGAACAGAAAGCAGCATTGAATATGTTAAAAAATGTATTCCGGTGATGATTGCAGGACGGTTGCAGGAGGCCTTTAAGGTTTCAAATTACGTACCAGAAGACCTGGCAACATATATGCGACAAGTGGCAGAAAACATGGGAATGACGGAAGAAGTGTTGACAGAATTAAAGGGAAAGGTTGACTTACCAATTCCCGGAACGGTTGTGCAAGATTTCAAATTCGGCACAAAAAAGCTCAAATTTCCCGGACCAGGTTTAAAAAATTCAAAAAGGAGAGCAGTATTAATTATTAGCTCATCAATGTGTTTGCTATTCCGGCTGGGGAATGGAAGATGGTTTTTCAGAACCCGGATTAATGGTGAACAATGGGTAGACCACCCAGTACTAAACTGTGAACACCTAACAGAAGAGCTGGACGTGGATGTGTTTCAAGTGAGTATATCCAGGAAAACCAAACAGCGTCAAGAATTGCGTCAATGACGCGTCTAAAAAGTTTATATTTACCCACGTCAATTTTCATGGCTGGTGTACCAGTATATTGACGCTGAATTCGACGCACGCATATGGGCGTTGACTTGACGTTAGTAAACTCGCGTCAAATTCTGACGCGTCGCTGACGCGTCATTGAGGGTGAATAAGAAAAGAGCATGAACCGAATGAAT